TCCTCAACCCACCCTCACCCCTTGCCGCGCGCCACGAAGTGAAGTGTCCTGACGTCATAGGGCGGGAAGCTGGGTGTGGGTGGTTCCCGAGTCGTGTGGATGTTTGGTAGAGCTTGCATTGCCCCCCCACGAAGTGGGGGTATTGGCTGGCGTCGCATGAAAACCCTGGCACTGGGGAGAACACTGAGCGTTCGGGTAAAATGATTGTTGTTGTTGTTGTTGTTGTTGTAAACCTGGGGCCAACAACGCAGTTTGATCCTCAAGACCTTCCCTGATAAATAACAAGGTGCGAGCCCCGGGAAGGGCACTTCAATCGAAAAGACAATGTGCACCGGACGGGGGGAGATCAACAATAATGATTTTTCAGACATGAGAATTCAACGACGGCTCCCGCTGAGTACTTTCTCGCACTGCACTTCCAAATCGCACTCTGGCATGGGAATTCCTCTCAATCTATGCAGCAATCGCGCTCTCGCGTGGGACTGCCTCACATGTTATTCCAACGCCGCGCCCTCGACACTCAGGAATCACGCTCTCGCTACGGGATTCTTCATGATATATGTAGGAATCGCGCTGTCGCTCAACAATTCTTGCGATTTATGCAGGACGCACGCTTCAGCAACCCGCCTGCTCGACCTGGCCGCCTGGACCCGCCTTCCCGACCCGCCCGATAGGGTCTACCCGCCCGATCTGTCCGTCTGGTTCTGCCTCTTGTTTTCTGCTCCTAACCCCCCTCCTGCTACTCTCTCTCGTGCTCCATCCTCCTCCCTCCCCCTTGTCCCTTCCCTCCATCCGTCCGCTCTTCCCCTGCCTTAGGGGCTGCACGACATGCACGTTGCAGGTAAGGAAGAAACACCCCTAAGGCGGTACGATCGAAGACGAATAAGGGTACATCTGCGTGTTCACCTACACAGTTTACGACATACGCATATACGTCACCGTTCGCTCTTAGGAGCCTTTGCGCAATGAGTTTGGTCTCGCTGTTGGGACCCTTGGCGTTCAAAGCTTTTTACGTTACAGACTCGTGTAGTAAAGGCTTTCCAACCACCTGGTGCTATTGGAAGCCTTGGCGTCAAAGCTGAGTCCGTCATTGGGCCGTCCAGGGAGGGTGTCCTCTGGGAGCCCTGTTGGGCAGCTCAGGGGCCCTCTTGGGCCGTCCTGGGGGGGCTTGGCTCCGCGGGCCGCCCCCTCGTTCTCGTGGGGGGCCGCCAGCACGGGCAACATGACGGCGTCCGTCACACCGCACCAGGCGTCGAACGCGCGCTTGCGGGCCTTGCACGCCTCCTCGCTCTGCGCCGCGCGCACGTTGGCCTCGCCCCACACGTCCCTCCGCCAGTGGAATTTCGCGTGGAAGTGGCGCGGGGTCTTGCAGCCGTTGGGCAGCCACACGAAACAGCCACTGCTCCTCGGCCGAGCTGGGCCGCAGGCGACACCGGGCGCGGAGCACATGCGTCCTGGGGCCGAGGCGGCCTGTGTCGCGTTCTCCTTCTGCGCCTGTCCCGGGAGCTCCGGCGGCGTGTCCTCGACGAATGGTGCGGCGAGGTCCTCGTCTGCGTCCGGGTCGTCGGACGCCACCCTGCTGGAGTCCTCATTCTGCCCAGCACGGCATGGGAGTCCTCATTCTGCCCAGTAGGGCACACCAAGAACCACAGGTCGTCGGCATTCATGGCCTCCTGGACGTCCTCAAAAGTGGCGGACTTGTTCAACGTCGGGAAACGGAGGTACGTGAGGCCCCGGCTCGTGAGCCAGTCCACTTGGCGGTAGCACTCTTCGCCCTGCAGAGCGGTGCGGCAATCGGCCTCGGCTGCCTCGGCGACCTGCTGCAGCTGGACGGCTCCCGCGGGCGCTCCCCAGAGCAGGGCGGCAAGGACGCAGGCGTGTGCCGGCGGCATCGCGTGGCAGGGCGGGGCGCGGGGCAACAACAGGTGCGGTTTGCGGGAGTGGGCCGGCGCTTGCCTTGCCGTCGCTTGAGCCCAAAAATGCTACGGATGCACTCAGGGCGCTCTTGGGAGCCCCTTGGGGCGGCCCGCATGGGCCCCTCGTGAGCCGTCTTGGGGCTCCCTGAGGTCGTCCTGGGGCCCTCTTGAGCCGTCGTGGGGCCCTTCAGGGCCGCCTTCGGCCGATCTGAGCCCGAAGAGGCGATTACCCCAAACACAATGAAACCCCAGAGAACATAAGGGGCCCTTGGGGGTCCCTGTTGGGCAGCTCAGGGGCCCTCTTGGACCGTCTTGGGGGGCGTGGCTCGACTGGGGGCCCTCTTCGGCCCTCCTGAGGGCCTCCCACGGCACTCAGGGGGGCTCTCTCTTTTCTCTCACTGCGAGCACTCGACCCTGCCGCAAGATGGGGTGGCTCACGTGGCAATTGACGGACTGTCAACTCAATCAGCCTGTCCTTGACTAATTCATTACCGAGGGCAATCACCGCGATACCAAGACGCCTCATGAGCCTGGCCGCGGAGCGCGTCTTGGAGGGCAGGGGACGGCCGGGAGGGATGGACTGCAGGTAAGGGGGGGAGGGCCGAGTGGCCCAAGTGCCACCTCGGCTGCCGCAGTGCTGCCAGTCAGGGCTCGGCCGGAGGCCGCCCCTATCTCCCCCTAGGCGAAGATTCGCACCGGCAGCCCGCGGGCCGCCCCCTCGTTCTCGTGGGGGGCCGCCAGCACGGGCAACATGACGGCGTCCGTCACACCGCACCAGGCGTCGAACGCGCGCTTGCGGGCCTTGCACGCCTCCTCGCTCTGCGCCGCGCGCACGTTGGCCTCGCCCCACACGTCCCTCCGCCAGTGGAATTTCGCGTGGAAGTGGCGCGGGGTCTTGCAGCCGTTGGGCAGCCACACGAAACAGCCAGTGCTCCTCGGCCGAGCTGGGCCGCAGGCGAGACCGGGCGCGGAGCACATGCGTCCTGGGGCCGAGGCGGCCTGTGTCGCGTTCTCCTTCTGCGCCTGCCCCGGGAGCTCCGGCGGCGTGTCCTCGACGAATGGTGCGGCGAGGTCCTCGTCTGCGTCCGGGTCGTCGGACGCCACCCTGCTGGAGTCCTCATTCTGCCCAGCACGGCATGGCCTGGTAGGGCACACCAAGAACCACAGGTCGTCGGCATTCATGGCCTCCTGGACGTCCTCAAAGGTGGCGGACTTGTTCAACGTCGGGAAACGGAGGTACGTGAGGCCCCGGCTCGTGAGCCAGTCCACTTGGCGGTAGCACTCTTCGCCCTGCAGAGCGGTGCGGCAATCGGCCTCGGCTGCCTCGGCGACCTGCTGCAGCTGGACGGCTCCCGCGGGCGCTCCCCAGAGCAGGGCGGCAAGGACGCAGGCGTGTGCCGGCGGCATCGCGTGGCAGGGCGGGGCGCGGGGCAACAACAGGTGCGGTTTGCGGGAGTGGGCCGGCGCTTGCCTTGCCGTCGCTTGAGCCCAAAAATGCTACGGATGCACTCAGGGCGCTCTTGGGAGCCCCTTGGGGCGGCCCGCATGGGCCCCTCGTGAGCCGTCTTGGGGCTCCCTGTGGTCGTCCTGGGGCCCACTTGAGCCGTCGTGGGGCCTTTCAGGGCCGCCTTCGGCCGATCTGAGCCCGAAGAGGCGATTACCCCAAACACAATGAAACCCCAGAGAACATAAGGGGCCCTTGGGGGGCCCTGTTGGGCAGCTCAGGGGCCCTCTTGGACCGTCTTGGGGGGCGTGGCTCGACTGGGGGCCCTCTTCGGCCCTCCTGAGGGCCTCCCACGGCACTCAGGGGGGCTCTCTCTTTTCTCTCACTGCGAGCACTCGACCCTGCCGCAAGATGAGGTGGCTCAAGTGGCAATTGACGGGCTGTCAACTCAATCAGCCTGTCCTTAACTAATTAATTACCGAGGGCAATCACCGCGATACCAAGACGCCTCATGAGCCTGGCCGCGGAGCGCATCTTGGAGGGCAGGGGAGGGGCGGGAGGGATGGACTGCAGGTTAGGGGGGAGGGACGGGCCCAAGTGCCACCTCGCCTGCCGCAGTGCTGCCAGTCAGGGCTCGGCCGGAGGCCGCCCCTATCCACCTAGGCGAAGATTCCCCAGGCGGCCGCAACCTGGAACCGCTCTTGCCGTGGCGCCAAAACGCCGATAAACCGACACACAATATCGGTTCGCACCGGAGTCGTCGGCAGATCCGCGGCCTCATCCTCGCTCGCATGCCCAGACATCGACTACGCGCAGGAGTGACCGCCTCGCCGGAGTGACCTTTGGTGCGGGCTTTCTGAGGTCCCCCGATCGCTGCATGCGATGCGGTAGCAGCGGCTTGCGCGCCTGGGTTTGGCCTCCCCGAGCCCCTCTAACGCCGCGCACCAAAAGTCACTCATGTCTCGGGTCACTCTAACACCCTCCGATTTGATTTTGCATGTCAATATGCCGCCCCAGAGCTTCCGATCCCTTCTTCGCGGTCGCCTTGGGAACAAAAATAACGACGTTGGGAGTCTGGGTCTACAGAATTGGCCTACCCCAGAATATGGGCTTTTGCACAGACTCTGCGAACAGAGGCGCGTAGACTGCTCGCAGATACATACGGGCCACTGTGATTACAAGGGTCACTCTACTCTGCGTATCTTTCGTAGAATCCCTGAGATCCGACGTTGCATACAAGCTGCAGCATCGCAAGAAATCGCGACCGGAGCCCCCGCCCGACCCCCTCCGTCCGCGTCACCTCTCGAGCTGGACCGCTCCGTGAGGGCCCTGCAGGGCCCGAAGGGGAGCGGAAGCGCCGCCCGTGAACGAATGGCAACGCCGGGATCTCCCGGCTCGGCGCACGAAAACCAGTCTTGTGGGCACATCGACTCCCCAGAGATCCGACGTCGTGATCTTTTCGGTGCGCGGTCCCCGGAAGCCTCGATCCATTCCCCAGAACCGGTGTCTCATCCTGAGTCGTTGTTTGACGGTCCGAAGCCCGGCGAGGGCTAGGGGCCGAAATCTGCGAAATTCCTCCGTCTTGATTTTTTTCAAGACGTTGGACCTCTGGGTCTGCGGCCGAGCTCCCGCCCGGGCGCCTCGTGCAGGCCGGCGAAGGGCAGCTCGTCGGGCGGCGGCGCGAGGACGCCCAGGCCGTCCTGGGGCGGCGAGGCGGCGGCACCCGGACGCGAGCTCGCGTCGTGCCCGGACCCCCTCGCGCGCTGTGCTGCCGACTGCTTGCCTCAGGTCGGGCATGTCCCCCTACAGGCGGGCGGGGGACGAAGAGCAAGACCTTGAAGGGGCCCTGGGACACTCAAATAAGCACGCACGAATAAAGGGATTCCCCATACTTTCCCATATTTTCTGGGGTTCTGTCTTCCCCCCCACTTCCCATAGTTTCCCATATTTTCTCGGGAATCGACGAACACTTGTGTCTGTGTGTCTTTTCCCTCCAGAGACATAACGCCCCCAGAGTGCAGAAACAGAAAATCGTCCCCTGACTACTTGTTGACTATTCTCTAGCATGTTCCTCCTGTAGAGGGACAAACCCGACTCAATGATTCCCCTTGGGTGGGCCTGCCCTGGTGTTTCGGGGTCGGTTTCGAGGCCCGTCGGCCCGCCCCTTCGCCTGGGCGCCCCCCTCGGGATGGCCCTCAATGGGCCTGGCTCCTCAGTGGGGCCCTGGCCCTTTGGAGGGCTGGGTCCTCAGCGGAACCTGGGCCCTCAGCGGGCTTTTCCCTCTCTCCTCCTTCAGGCTCCATAGGCCACGGGCAGGGCAAGACAATCCAGACCCCCTCGCGCTGAGCACAAATCGGGCGTTGGCAGAACTGGGTTTAGTGGAACCTGGTTTAGTGATTTGTACTTTTCCACTAACCGGAACTGCCGTCACCCGAAAAATACCAGTTACGGCAAAACCTGGTTTGGTGAATCTGGCCAATTGAGGGGCCCCAGGGCCCCACCTCTAACAGGGTCCCCTTACCCGGGGTCCTGGCTATACCCGAACAAATCGCGACCCCAGACCCCCGACGTCATGATTTTTCATGACGCGGCCTGGACCCCTTCCCCGGGACCGGTTTTTCGTTCTGAGTCGTTTTTTGACGGTCCCGAGGCCCGGTGAGGGCCCCCTGGAGGCTGAAAATAGCGAAGACCCTCCGGCCGTGATGTTTTCACCGCGCGAGGGGGTCTGGGACGGGAGGCTCTTCGCCATCTCCGGCCCCTCGGGGGCGGCGAGCGCGCGAAAAGCTCTCCGCGCCGCGCGCCGCGGCGCGGCGCGGCGCGGGGCGCCCATGGGCGCGAGGCGCGAAGTCCGGCGGCGCCGGCGCGCCGCCGGCCCCCAGCGCTTCGGGAGGCTCCAAGAGGCCCAAGAGGGCCCCAGAGAAGAGGGCCCCAAGAGGGCCCCAAGATGAGCCCAGGGCGGCCAAAGAGGCCCCCCAAGACGCTCCAAGAGGCCTCCAGGAGGCCCCCCCAGAGGGCCCCAAGAGGCCAGAATCGCTCATTTTACGCATGTTTTGGACACATTTTGCCTTTCCCGCCTTTCAGCTTTCCGACGCTCCACTCACAGGCCCCCTCGCGCTGTGAGAAAATCGCGGAGGGAGGCTTTTCGCCATGTTCGGCCTCCCAGGGCCCTTCCCAGGCCTCGGGCCCATCAACAACGACCCAGGAGGAAAAACAGCCCTCGCTCAAGTCCGGGCCCCAGGACCCTCACAGATCGATCCGGCTCGAAAAATGACGCAGACAGATGGGGTCCTGGGCTTCGGTCGTGATGTCCTGCGATGTTGCAATTTTTCTGCAACGTTGGTTCTCAAAGTAAAATGAGCAGGACGGGAGGTTTTTGGCCGTCTTCGGCCCCTGGGAGCCCTCGCCGGGCCTCGGGGCCGTCAAAAAACAACTCGGGATGAGAACCCGGTCCCGGGGAAGGTGTCGGGACTTCCAGGGACCCCAGCCCAGATTGGAAAAATCAGGACGTCGCATGTCTGGGTACACGTCCGCTGCCCCTGGCCTATGGCCCATCCCTGGGCACATGAGTGGGCGTGCATACGCCCTCCTCGCTTGGCCAGGGAAGCAAATGTGCTGCAGGTGCCGCTCTTGAGGAGGAACCGACCGTCCCAGCATTCCTACAGGCCTACCACGACATGTTCTCAGAACAAAAGAATGTTCGAATAACGAAAATTAACAACATCCTCTTATAACGCGAAACTGATGTCTTTAGACCAGACAGTCTCAGCCAAATACGGCCCTTAGAACATATCTCTTGGTGGGCCTATGTAGACTAGCCAGGACTCTGCGCCACTGCTTGACTCCCTGACACCACGATGTTGGCCTCACAGGTTGCCAAGCAGAGCCCCCCCAAGGAACCGCAACGATTTGGAAGTGGTGAACTTCCAACGTGATGTTTTCCTCGAGCTGGGGCGCGGGGAAGCATCATGGAACGCCCGCGCGTCATCGAATGGCCGCGCGCCGCCTGTTCCTGCCATTGAATCATGCCGCGCGCGCCGCGCCCCCAAACCAGGCCGCTGCGTGACCGCTATGGAAATCATCGCCGCGATGACGCTTCGTTGCTGCACATACGCCTCCCAGGAGCGGTGCAGCCGCTATGCGGCCGACTCCGGGAACCCCGGGGGTCGAGGAGGAGGAGGAGGAGGAGGAGGAGGAGGAGGAGGAGGAGGAGGAGGAGGAGGAGGAGGAGGAGAGGAGGAGAGAGGAGGAGGAGATGGAGGAGGAGGAGGAGTAGGAGGAGAAGGAGGAGGAGGAAAAGGAGGAGGAGGAGGAGGAGGACCAATGTAAGCAGAGCGTGGCCCGGTGAACAAAAGCGGCACCGGGCCCGGGCCGGGCGGGCGCGGGCCTGCAGAAGAGGACACGGCCGCGGGCGCCCCCCGCGAGAGCCGAGAGCGGACAGTCCACGGATCGACGCGTCGGCGTCGAGGGCCTCAACGTGGTTTCGTGAACACGACCTCGGGCCCAAACCTGGCGTGCGCAAGCCTGGAAAATGACGGCCGCGACGCACTCTCGAGAACCGAAAACGGACAATGCACTCCTCGACGTGCCGGGGCGGGCGGGGGCCCTGCCCACCCCCCGATCGAAAGGGGCCTCGCGCGCAGAGCTGCAGGCCGAGCGCCCACGAGGAAGCCCCGCTCGGCAGGGGGGCCCACTGAGAGGCTCCTTCTGTGGCGCGCCGGACCCTCGAGGGAGCTCGAGGGAGCGGACCCTCGAGGGGCGCCCCCAGCGAGAGCCGAGAGCGGACAATCCACGGATCGACGTGTCGGCGTCGAGGCTCCGTCCACGCCCCGGGGAAGCCCGAAGCCGAGAACGCTGCCACCTCGTCGAAGGGGGGCGCCCCTTCTGCTGCCGCCGGCCTCCGCCGGCCGTGCGCCGGCTTGGTGGGCGCTTTCTTAGTCAGCGCTTCGACATTGGGCGGGAGGAGGAGGAGGAGGAGGAGGAGGTAAGAAGAGGAGGAGGAGGTAAGAAGAGGAGGAGGAGGAGGAGGAGGAGGAGGAGGAGGAGGAGGAGGAGGAGCAGGGCGGAGGAGGAAGAGGAGGGGGGGGAGGCTGGCTCTGGACCTCTGCTTCATGCGACTGTTTGCAGCAGGGCGTTCCATGGGGGAAACCCCACCTGCTCGAAACAGGCGCCCGACACAGCCAAGATCTACTCCGTGGGGGTGGGGGGAGAGGGGGGTGGGGTGCGAGGGCCCGCGCCGATCGGCAAAACAATGCATCAGAAAACTACCACCTTCCGCTGGCGGAGGCGGCCTTGTTTTGCTTCTGTCGCTTTCCTCGGAAGAGGTGGCAACTCCTTCGACCCTCGAACACGCCACGCGCAGAGGGGGGTGGGGGGAGAGGGAGGAGGGCTCCCTAGAAGCACCCCATGCTTCTCAGAAGGCCCATCTCTATGATGTAACTCTGGCGCCTTCTGAGGCGCAGCCTCCTTCCAAGAAGCCCTCCCCCCTCCCTCCACCCCTTTGTGCGCACCGCCAATCGAAGGCGAGGCCCCGTCTGGAGGGCCCCACGTGCTGTGCACCGCGCCTGTGCCCAGGGCCTGGCCTTAGGTCGGGCATGTCCCAACTACAAGGGGATTCTGAGCGAAAAATCAACAATACTCAAAACATACTCCCAACATGTGGCCCCAAGACGGCCCAAGAGACCTCCAAGCCGCCCAAGATGGCCTCCAAGACTGCCCCGAAGCGCCCCAAGAGGACCCCAAGTCGGTTCAGAGAGGCCCCCAAGCCGGCTCCCGACGGCGTCAGGCGGGCCAGGAGCCCACCAAGATGGCCGAAGTTGGCTCGAAGCTGTCCCAAGACGGCCCAAGAGGCCTCCAAGATGGCCTCCAGGAAGGTCAGAAAAAGGCCGAAAACACTAATGTTCCTTAGGTTGTTGAAGGAGTTTGACATTTGGTTCGTTTCGGCTTTCCGACGGCCCGATACGGCCCAAGCGCTCCCAAAAATCGCCCAAAGATCGCCCAAGAGGCCTCCAAGATGGCCCCAGAACTGCCCAAAAAGGCCCCCACGACAGCCCCAAGAGGCCCCAAAGACGGTCCAGGAGGCTTTTAAGACGCCCAAGATGGCCTCCAAGACGGCCCTGCAGCATTCCAAGAGGGCCCCAAGTCGGCTCAGAGAGGCCCCCCAAACGGCCCCCGACGGCGTCGGACGGGCCAGGGGCCCACCAAGACGGCCGAAGATGGCACTAAGACTGCCCAAGAGGCCTCCAAGAGGGCCTCCAGGAAGGCCCGAAAAGGCCAAAATCATTGATTTCCCATGAGTTGTTGAAGGATTGTGGCAGTTGCTTTTTTCGGCCTTCCGACGGCCCGGGACGGCCCAAGTGCCCCCAAAGATCGCCCAACAGGCCAAAGACAGCCCCAAGAGGTCCCCAAGACGGCCCAAGAGGCCTCCAAGACGCTCAAGATGACCTCCAACACGGCCCAAGAGCCCTCCAAGACGTCCTCCAAGAAGGCCCGAAAAGTGTCAAAATGGCCTCCAGGCGGCCAAGATGACCTTCAAGATGCCCACGTGCCCCCCGAAGACTTTCCAAACCGATTCGGGGAACACATGGTCCGATAGCTTGGCAGGTCTGGCCTCAACGTTCGGCCACATAGGCGCTTCCAAAAAGGCCGGGGGGGGCGGTGATTCGCCGCAGGCGCCTTCGATTAACAATATTGAAAAATACGCCCGAAATGTTCGAAACTAGTCCAAAGATAGTCCCCAGGCTATCTTTTGACTATTCTTGAATATTTAGGGCGCAAACAAACCTACCTCGCTTTTGACCACCCTCGCTTCCAAGAGATACCAAGCGGCGCCAAACTACGGCCTGCGCTGGCCAGGCCGCTTGACGAGGAGGCGCGTAGCATGACTTGGCTTTGCCTGGAAGCGAAAGCGGGGTAGGCAATTCACGCTATGAGTATTCCCCCTGTTGAGGGGCAGGCCCGACCAAAGCCTGGCCCGCGGCGGTGGCTCTCGGCAGCCTCGCGGACCCCCCCCCCCCCGACGCGCAGCACGCGGCACGTGGCCCCACGGACACGGAGCTCGGCATGCGGGCCCCAGGAAGAGATACAGCGCCACCACGTCGATTCCTTCCCGAGGAGGAGAAGAGAGGAGGAGGAGCAGGAGGAGGAGGAGGAGGAAGAGGAGGAGGAGAGAGGAGGAGGAGCAGGAGGAGGGAGGAGGAGGAGGAGGAGGAGGAGTAGGAGGAGGAAGTAGGAGGTAGGAGGTGGAGGTGAGAAGAGGTGAGGATGAGGAGGTAAGAAGAGGAGCGGGAGGAGGGGGAGGAGGAGGAGGAGGGGGGAGAAGGAGGAGAAGGAGGGGGAGGAGGGAGGAGGAGGAGGGGGAGGAGGAGGAGGAGGAGGAGGAGGAGGAGGAGGAGGAGGAGGAGGAGGAGGAGGAGGAGGAGGAGGTAAGAAGAGGAGGTAAGAAGAGGAGGTAAGAAGAGGAGGAGCAGGAGCAGGAGGAGGAGGAGGAGGAGGAGGGGACATCGTTCGAGCCTCTCCTCTCTCCTGAGAGAGGGAGGGGACGAGGGAGGTGGTGGTGGCGTATACCTTCGGGCTCCGTGCGACACGCTGACGGCAAACGCAGGCCCAACGCGATGCGTTCGCCCACGCGCGGGCCAGCGCGTCAAGCCAACACGCAGCGTAGTGGCACGGCCGCTTTGAGCACGGAACGTGTTGCGATCGAGGCAGCCACCCAGACCCCCGATTCACAACGTCGACCCCCAGAGGTCTGGACCCCATTCCCCGGGACCAGTCTCTCAGCCTGCGTCGCTTTTGGACGCCCCCGGGGCCCTGCAAGGGCCCCCGCGAGCCGAAAGTCCTCCCCTCGTGATTCCTGTTCACGGCGCGAGGGGGTCTGGCTTTGGGCTGTGCAGAGCTTGTCGGCCCCGCGTCCGTGTGGCGCAGGAGGTCGCCCCCCTCGCCGCCGCGGCGGAGCAGCTCGGCGACCTGCGCGTGCCCCGCGCCCGCGGCGAGCTGCTCCGGCAGCCGCCCCTCCCCGTTCTGGGCCGAAGACGAAAGAAAACGGCACAAGCAGAAACTTTCGGAGCTCCTCCTCCTCCTCCTCCTCCTCCTCCTCCTCTGCCTCCTCCTCCTCCTTCTCCTCCTCCTCCGCCTCCTCCTCCTCCATCCCCTCCTCCTCCTCCCTCTCCCTCCCCTCCTCCTCCTCCTCCTCCTCCTCCTCCTCCTCCGCCTCCTCCTCCTCCTCCTCCTCCGCCTCCTCCTCCAGGCTTTGGCTTCTGCGCCCCAGGAGGTCGGGTCTCTGCCGGGGGGTCTGCCGGGGGGCCCCCGGGGCTGGGGTCACGTCTGGGCGCAGGTCGAAAAGCTGGCCAGCAGAAGTCACGATCGGACGATGGAACAATTTTGGAGGCCTGGAAATTGGCACCAACACCAACACAGGGGGTTGCCTCCACGGGGGGAAGACGATCCTCGATTTCGGTGTCGGTGGTAATGTTTCGGTCGCCTTGGAAGTCGTAATATTACCACCGTCACCGAGATCGGGATCCTCTCCCCTCGGTGGAGGAACACCGCCGATATTAGTGTTGGTGTCGATCTCTAGGCCTGCGACATTTGGGCCAGTTTCGGCGATGCATCGGCGATGTGGTACAATCCTCTAACCCAGGCCTCCTCACGTCGCGAAGAAAAAATCACGACGGGAGGTGTTTGGCTCTTTTCGGCCTCTGGGGGCCCTCACCAGGCCTCGGGACCGTCCAGAAGTGAATTGCTCGGGATGAGAAACCGGTCCCCGGGAAGGGGTCCAGACCTCTGGGGGTCGACGCTGTAGAAGAATCACGACGTCGGGGATCTGGGTAGGCAGCGAGACTCGAGATGGCTTAGGCAGCGAGCTCAGAGCACCGTTAGCAGACTATAGTCCGAGCCTCTTTTCCTGTCACGAGTGCTCTCAGGAGCCCTCAGCGCCAGGACTGACAACACGATCACAAACAAAAGCTTTCAGAACTCCGCACGGACCAGCCCCAACAAGATGGCCCCCAATACCCCCAACATGCTCCCTCCAAAGAGGTCCCCACGAAGCCCCCAGAGGGTCCACGAAAGCCTCCAGGAGCGCTCAAGCAATTCCAAGAGACCAGCACCTTCTAGGCCTCCAGACGGCCCCGAAGAAGTCCCTCAACAGACGCGGAGGAAGAGGAGCGCGAATCAGCAACAACTACAAGCAAAGAAGCTGTATGCTGTGTGCGTGTAGTTGTTTCTGTCTGCGTGTGTTGTATCACGCTTCCCGTCGTGCTGCCTGAGACGACACGACGGGAAGCGCGAATGCGAAACAATACACACACACGACACGACACGACATCGGAAGCCGCACATCTTCTTTTCTGGGGGCCGGTGGAATCGCGTAAGCCTTTCGAGTCAACTTTCGGAACGCCGCGCGGATTTCTTGGATGGGCGCTGGACCCCGAGCGTTAGGTTGGGCCTGTCCCCCATACAACCCCAACTCCAGATCCGCCCTACTTTGGCTTTTCTTCCAACTTAAAATTGCGTCGGATATCCATCTATAAGAGGCCGAAAAAGTAGGGCGGGAATTTCTGCACCCACCATAAAATGGGGCGGAAATCCACAGAAGTAGGGCGGAAACAGCAACAGAAAAGTAGAGCGGAAATTGGCATCATCGGGGCTTGAAAAGTAAGGCGGAAATTCAAAGCCCTACTCACGAATTTCCCCAAAGTAGGGTGGATGGGTATTTTGGGCGAAAGATAAACAATTACTCAAAGGATACCCCCAGATGGTCAAAAGATACTTCAAAAGCCGTCCCCCGACTATGTTTGGACTCTTTGGGAATATTCCTCCGGTAGAGGGACAGGCCCGACCTCACCCTGGCGGCGCCCCTCCTGGTGCCGCCCTTGGCGCCCCCCGCGCGCAGTTGGGGGCCCAGCGCCGATTCAGGAACCCCGACCTTGGCGGCGCGAGCAGAGGGGGGCAGGGGGAGGAGGGAAGGCTTCCTAGGAGCACCCCTGGCGCCAGCCCGGTACACCTACATAGGTCAGGAGGCAACTACAGGGAGGCTTTCGTCGGAAAGAGCGCGGAGGATGAAGCCCCATTTGGGAGCTGTTGCGCCGGAGTGGGCCTCGGACCAAGCAGGATGCAGCCGGACTAAGCGGGATCAAGCGGGATTGAGCCGGATCAGGCGGGATTCAGCGGGATTAAGCCAGATTAGGCGGGATTAAGCTGGATCAAGCCGGATGTCGGACCAGGGCAAAATCAGAATTTGATCTCCCAGGAGTTGCATCCGAATGTGGGCAAGGCCCGCGCCTAAGCGGGGGTGCCTCTAAGAAGCCTTCCCCCCGCCCTCTGACCCAATGCCCCTGAGAACAACACCTGGGGGACAAGGAAGGTCGGGGCCTCGGGGGGATAATAAACGATGTGTCCCGGCAGGTCGCACGAGGAATGTATGACGAGGAGAAAGGAAGTCGTCGTCGTCGTCGTCGCATCAAGACGACGACGACGTCGACGACAACTACACCCCCTCTGTGCGTGGCTGAAGACCCCGAGGTCATGAGTTCTCTCGAAACGTGGACCCCTGGAGGTCTCGACCCATGTCCCGGGATCAGCTCTTCCTCCTGAGCGGTTTGTTGACAGCACAGGGGGCCTGGCGAGGGCCCCCAGAGGCCTGACATTGCCGAAAAGCTCCAGGCCTGGTTTTTCTCGCAAATCGCAGATTGCAGCATCGGGGGGAGAACCGCGACCCGAGCCCGAGCTTCCCTCTTTTTCTGCTGCACCCTCCGAGCCCAGATCGACCCGCGACGGCCCCCGGGGCCCGCGGCTGGGAGCAGAGCCGCCCGTGGCGAGGAAACTGCGACGCCGAGCTCTGGGGGACATCCCAGCCCCAGACATGATCGCGTCGTAAAAAAATCAGGACGGGAAGTTTTTTCCCATTTTCGGCCTCGTGGGGCCCTCGCCGGGCCTCGGGACCGTCAAAAAACGACTGAGGATGAAAAACCGGTCCCTGGGAACGGGTCGGGACTTCCAGGGACCCCGTCCTGAAAATATCAGGACGTTGCATGTCTGGGGCAGGCACCCGCTGGAGGTTCGGGCGTCGGCAGAACCGGGTTTCGTGGCACCAGGTTTAATGATTTTCGGGCCGGGCGAAAGGGGGGGGTAGCAAAGGGGGGGGTTGAGAATCAGCTCACGTGGCTGATTTTCCCGGCGCCTCCCGGCGCCGGGAGGCGGCCATGTATCGAGGAATGGGCCCCTCTGTGAGGCCGAAACCAGCTGCATGCAGCAGATTTCGTACCCCCCCCCCCTTTCCCAATCCCCTCCTTTCGTCTGGCCCGAGATTTGTACTGGGGGAGGCCCCCCCCGCCTCGTTCCACTAACCGGAGCTGCCGTCACCCGAAAAAACACCAGCTACGGCAGACCTGGTTTAGTGATTCTGGCCAATACAAGGGCTCCGGGGCCCTACCACTAACCGGGTCCTGGCTATACCCGCAAGGTGTATGCTTGTGCCGATGTCTCTTCTTCCGCTGGTCGGGGAGACGTAAGACTCGGGTTCGCGGGACCCGGGTTGGCCTTACGGCGCCGTCGGGATAATGACGAGGCCCAATCCGAAATCTGACGCAGGCCCCCGTTGCAAGCATCCCAGACCCCCGACGTAATGATTTTTTCATTACGTCGACTCCAGAGCTTCCCCGGGACCGGTTTTTCGTCCTGAGTCGTTTTTTGACGCTCCCGAGGCCCGGCGAGGGCCCCCGGAAGCCGAAAATAGCGAAAAACCTCCCGTCGTGATTTTTTCGCAACGCGAGGAGGTCTGGGTTGCAAGCATCCCAAGGAAACTGGACCGTCAAACTCCAGGACGGACCCGCCAAGGGGAAACCAGGATGCACCGACACTGCGGCTCCACGGACCTCTCCCGGGGCGCGTTCTGACCAGGACCTCGAGGCGAATCCGGCGGTGGCGACGAGGGCCTCCCAGGAGGCCGAAAAAGAGGGGAAAACGGGCGACGGGCAGCGGAGTGGGTGCCTGCCCAGACCCCCGACGTCGTGATTTTTTCACGACGCGACCCCTTCCCCGGGACCGGTCTTTCATCCCGAGTCGTTTCTTGAGGGTCCCAGGGCCCGGCGAGGGCCTCCAGAGGCCGGAACTTGCGAAAAACCTGCGCCTCGATGTTTTCAGTGCGCTGCATCTCTGGGTGTTCCTCCTCCGCAGCGTGAGCCCGTCCATGACGCGTCGGCCAGGTCCGCCCCGGGCGCGCCGGCGAGCCCCCGCCCTGGCTCCTGATCCGCCGTACTTTGGATGATTTTCCGACCTAAAATTGTGTCGGAAATCGACGCCAAAGGAGCCTCAAGGGCGGAAATCGACGCTCAAAGGGGCCTCAAAAGCAGGGCGGAAATTTCCGCCCTACTTTCGAAATCGCCCAAAGTAGGGCGGATCAGGAGCCAGGGGAGACCCCGAGCCCTGCGCTGCCCCGGGCATGGGGCCGCGGGTCCACGCCGAGGCGCAGGAGCACCCGGCACGCCTCCGCGCGGCCGGCGCGCGCGCCGTGGTGGAGTGGCGCGTCGCCCCCCGCGTCGCACACGCCCAGCTGCCTCCTCCGAAGGAGCGTCGTCGTCGTCGTCGTCGTCGTCGGCGTCGTCGGCGGCGTCGTCGTCGGCGTGGGCGTCGACGTCGGCGTCGTCGTCGTGGTCGTCGGCGTCGTCGTCGTCGTCGGCGTCGTCGTCGTCGGCGTCGGCGTCGTCGTCGTCGTGGTCGTCGTTGGCGTCGGCGTCGGCGTTGTCGTCGGCATCGGCGTCGGCGTCGGCGTCGGCGTCGACGTCGGCGTCGTCGTCGTGGTCGTCGTCGGCGTCGGCGTCGTCGTCGGCGTCGTCGTCGCAAACGAACCCAGAATGAGCTCTCCAGCAAAGTGTCGGCTTTTCAGGAGCCCAGCATCTTGCCACGGTTCGCCCGAGACAACTTCCAGCATTCGCCGAAGGCGGACCCTGCCACTGAGGCCTTCGGTGCAGCGAGCGTGCCAGCTCAGGGGGCGCACCACGGCGCCGCGCCGCCACCGACTCGACTCACTGCGACCCAGACTCACTGTGGCCGACCAGGACCACAGCGCCGAAAAGCAAATCACGACGGCAGGCTTTTGGCGATGATCGGCTTCTGGGGTCCCCCGCTGGGCCCGGGGACGTCAACACAAAAGCGACTCGGGATGAAGAGCCTGTCCTAGGGGATGAGTCGAGACCACTGGGGCCGACGTTGAAACAAAAAAACGTCGAGGGTATAGATACACCGCATAAGCATAAGCTTTCAGAGCTCCGCGCGGATTTCCTGGATCGGCACTGGATGCCCCGCCCCGCGGCAGCGCCGTGCGCCAGGGAGGGGGGGTCAGCGCCGATGCAGGAAATCCTAGCGGAGCTCCGAACGTGTATGTGTGTGCCGCTGCTTCTCGTCCGACTCCTGCAGGAGGCGCTCGCGCCGCAGCGCTCGAGCCACCAGACCTTGAGGAGGCAACTGCCGAGAAGCCTTCGTGAGAACGATCAGAGGGCTGCACAGAGGCCCGATGAGGGGGCCCTTGGGCCAGGTTGGGCCAGCTTTCAAAAAGCTAGATCGGCCCGGCTCAGGGGCCATCGAGCCACAGCAGCCCAGATTCAGCCCATGCTGAGCCTTATGTTGCTCCCATCGTACTTAAGGACCACATCCCAGAAATAATTTCGAGCACCCGGAAGAATGTCGAAACAGTGTCCCCCAGGGCCCGACACGTGAAAACCCTCGAGTTTGGGCACATTCTCGGCGCTCGAAGTTCCTTCTGGTGATCAAGGTTCAAGTAGGTTGGAACATCATAAGCTAAGCCCTGGATCGCGTCAGACGAAGCCAGGTCAGGCGGGAGCTGGCAGAATTGACCAGGATTGGGCCATGATTGGGCCGCTCTGCGGCCACGCACCCAGGCCCCCGACGTCGTGATTTGCGTCGACCCCCAAGAAGGTCCAGACTCCTTTGAAGGGGCCCAAGGACACACAAATAAATACACACAAATAGAACTATTCCGCATATTTCCCAATATTTTCTGGGTTTTTGTCTTCCCCCCCACTTCTCATATTTTCCTATATTTTCGGGGGAATCGAGGATTAACTGTGTCTGTGTTTTTTGTTTTTCCTCCTGATCCTTCCCCGGGCTCGGTTCTTCGTCCCGAGTCGTTCCTTGGCGGCCCCGAGGCCCAGCAGGGGCCCCCTCGGAGGCAGAAACTGGCGAAGAGCCGACCGCCGAGACTCTCTCACACAGCGAAGATGGGCCTGGGGATGCACGGAAGCGGCAAAGAGGGGGGTGTCCAAGAGGGGGGGGTGCAAATCATGACCGGCGGCATGTGCGCGGCCCAGCGGGGGGGCCAGGAACGTAATGCAATAAGAAGAGGCGCCATGAAATCTGGGGAAATATCATGGCCCCTGCCATGATATCCCCCCCCCCCCCTAGTCATCACCCCCCTCTTTTCCGCCCCCGAGGATGCACCAGCGCCGATGCCGAATGCAGCCTCCCGGGAGTTGCACCCCGAGAGACCCGCCCGTCCAGGGCCGCCGCGTGCGCGGGCAGCATCTCCACGCCCCCGCGCAGCTGGGGCCCGTCGTAGCCGACGCCCCAGACCTCCCGGGGAGGAGGGGCCGCTTGCCGATGCCGCTGCTCGGCCCTGGAGACCCAGACATGATCGTCAGAGCCCCGAATCATCAGGGGTAACTCGGGTCAGGGCTAACTCGGGTTCGTTTTTCGGGAATCCGAGCCCGACATACCCCGGACCCGAGTTACCCCGGATAATTCGGGCGTCCAGAGCCCCACATCATCAGGGGTAACTCGGGTCAGGGCTAACTCGGGTTCCTTTTTCGGGAATCCGAACCCGACATTACCCCGGACCCGAGTTACCCCGGATAATTCGGGCGTCCAGAGCCCCACATCATCAGGGGTAACTCGGGTCAGGGCTAACTCGGGTTCCTTTTTCGGGAATCCAAACCCGAGTTACCCCGGACCCGAGTTACCCCGGATAACTCGGGCGCCCAAGATCGCGCCTTGGCGGCGCGCAGAGGGGGGCGGAGGGGGAAGCCTTTTTAGCAGGGGGCTGCTTCTCAAGGCCGGCGCCCTCGAAGAAGCAGGGGCGCTTCTGAGAAGACTTCCCCCCCCCTCCCCCATACCACCCTCTGCGCGTGGCCGAGCGTCGTAGCAAAACAAGCAGGACGGGAGGTTTGGGGGCGTGTTCGGCCTCCGGGGGGCCCTCGTCGGGCCTCGGGACCGTCCAGGGACCACTCAGGATGCGAAGCCGGTCCTGGGGTCGGGACTTCCCCAGGGATCCCGTCGTAACAAAACAATCAGGACGGGAGGTTTTGGGGCGTGTGCGGCCTCGGGGGGCCCTCGTCGGGCCTCGGGACCGTCAAGGAGCCGGTCCTGGGGTCGGGACTTCCCCAGGGATCCCGTATGGAGAAAATCAGGACGTCGCATGCCTGGGGATGACCCGTCGGTCGGAAGAAGTGGGCAGCAGCATGAAGTAGGAGGGCGTATCGAGCAGATGGGGCTCGGGCCCTCCCATCGAATCACAAAACACAGCAAAAGCGCATCGGCTCTTGGACCAGGAAGGCGCCTGAAGTAGATTGGGATCTGGGCATCCAGAAAGACCTACTTCAACGGCCGGCGTGTACCGATGCCGCTGCTCGGCCCTGGAGGTTACCCGTCGGTCGGCAGAAGTGAGTCGACACAGGAAGTGGGAAGGCGGATCGAGTAGATTGGGCTCAGACCTTCCCAGAGAATCACAAAACACAGCAGAAGCACATCGGTTCTTGGAGTAGGAATGCGCCTGAAGTAGGTTGGGATCTGGACATCCAGATATACCTACTTTCAACGACAGGCGTGTACCAATGCCACTGCCCTGGAGATTGCGCAGTTGGTTCGTCCTCGGTCAAGGACGACAATAACTGCATAGAAACATATTTGTTTGGCGTTCCGCGCAGATTTCTTGTGGATCTGCGCTGGGCCCCACTGGCGGCGCACCCGGCGCCGCCCCTGGCGCGCTCCGCGCGCCAGGGAGGGAGGGTGAGGTTGTGCATGTCCTCCTACAGGCGGTTATTGGAAGAACAGTAAAATAGTAGACAACAATAGTCGAAAAACACGAAACATCGTCACAATCAAATGCTTTGCTACTCCTCAGTGTTCCTCCTGTAGAGGGACACGCCCGCCTTAGACGGAGGCAGGTCCAGCGCAGATCCAAGACTTCCGCGCGAAGACCCTTGATGCTCCCTCCTTGATGCTCGTCACTTGCTGTTCCTTCCTTGCTGTTCGCCCTTGCTGCTCCTTGATGCTCCTGGATGTTCCTGGATGCTCCCTCCTTGATGTTCGTCCATTGCTGTTCCTTCCTTGCTGGTCGCCCTTGCTGCTCCTTGATGCTCCTGGATGTTCCTGGATGCTCCCTCCTTGATGTTCGTCCATTGCTGTTCCTTCCTTGCTGGCCGCCCTTGCTGCTCCTTGCTGCTCCTTCCCTGATGTTTCTGCGTCTGCTCCTTCCCTGCCGCTCGTCCCCTGTGGGGGGCCCTCGCCGCTCCGGCCGGAGCCCACTCGCGAGCGCCTCCCGGCCGGGGCGCAGCGCCCTGCAGGGGAGGCCCGTGGCTACACACAGCCCTCCCGGACAGGGGGGCCGCGTAGAGCCAGGTCGGGCATGTCCTCCTACACGGACTGGAAGAGATCCTCCTCCTCCCTCTTCTCCTCCTCCTCCTTCTCCTCCCCGTAGCCATTTTGGCTCAAGACGGAGCTTACCTCCCGTCCCGACTCCAGAGGCTCGAGGCCGAGGTGGAAGGGCAGCCCCTTCTGCAGGCCTGGCTGCCTCGACCAGCGTGCGGCCAGCAGGTGGCCATCTTTGCAAACACGGCACTGCGCGTGCCTTTCTTTCCATTTCTCCTTACTCTCGTGCTCGTGCCATGGCTTGGCGCGGCAGTGCCCCGTGGCGCGGCGGACGTGGTGGTAATGCTGGATGGGGGCGTGGCAGCAATAAGAAGAAGGCTGCCAGAACCTCCAATCAAGAGTATGATGTCTGTTCCGCTTGTCGCCACTGGGACTTCAAGTACCACGGCAACTGGTGCTGCTCCCGCTGTGGCGGACTGTACATCGGTGATGTTGAACAAGGAGATGGTGGCCAACCCGCTGGTGGTGACGCTGGAGGGAACGGACAAGGTGCGCCCGATGGAGACCCTCAACTACGTGCTGCAGCTGCGGTTCTGCTCGCTGCACGCCCCGACTTGCAAAATGTTCTTGGTGGAATGGTTCCTCCGCCTCCAGTTGCAGCTGAAGAGTGGACGCTGGCACAGTATGCTGATGCCGCACGTCATGAACACACCCGACTCACGAAGGAGGTGGAGAATTTCGCCAAAGCGGTGCGCCTGGCCTCACAGGAGGTGCACCACCGTGCCAACAAGGTCCAAAAGTTGGAGGAAGCGCTTCGTGAAGCGCGTGAACAACATCAACAAGCTGAAGGTGAGTATCGTGATGCTGAGCAAAAGAAGCGCGATGCCGATGACACTGTTGCTCGGTTCTCTCAGGAAGCGTGGGTTCATGCCAAGCGGCAGGAGCATGCGCAGGCCGCAGCGGCGGCCGGGGCTGCTCGCGCGGCCCATGCGGCCGCCCCCGCCCCAGCCCCGCAGATGCCTGCGCAGCATGCTCCGCCTGGTGGAGGTGCTGCACCACCCGCAGGTGGTCGCCCAGCTGCGCCTGGTGGAGCGCCACCTGCTGCTGTACCTCCGGGTCCACGCATGGACTTTGACATCCCTGAACTACATTCTATGGATGCGGCCCAGATTCGCGAGTATTGCCAGGTCAACAACCTTCCCTACGGATTGGTGGCACGTTTCGCGGAGATGCAGAAGCAGATCTACGACAGTGCCCAGTCTGACGCTGGAAGTGATGCTGGTTCTGAGGCTGGTGATTTTCCCCCAGAGCGTGCTGAAGAATTGGCTGCGCTCAAGAAGCGCTCTATGGAAGGTGCAATGGCTGATGCCGACCAGACCCGCATGGAGGACCTCATGTTCGAGAAAGCCCACACCCGCTCAGCGAAGCGCATGCGACGTGTGCAGCGTGAAGTTGGTGCCGGGTTCAAGGAGCTCTTCAAGGCTGCGGTCGCGGAGATGCCGCCGCCGGTTTAGTGAGTCCGGGCTTCGCCTACTCTTTTGTAACATAACTAGCTGGAGTGCTCTGGCTAAATCGTTCGTTTCGCAGTTGCATGGTAAGGCTGACGCCTTTATGTTCGCTGAACACCGCCAGCTCCCCGCCGATTTGAAGTCGGCTAAGCGTGATGTGGCCACCGCTGGATGGCGCCCCATTTCCTCCCTGCCTCGCCCTCTCCTGGCGGCGGGGCCCATGGTGGTGTAGGAGCGGCGGTGCACAAAGGCCTGTTTTTCAAACGTTTTCTGGCCCATGCTGGCCAAATTCGGGACGTAGGTGCTGGCAATGGCTGGATGTTTCTGGAGCTCCGAACCCAATCCTGTGTGATGGCCGTTGGCGTTGTATATATGATAGCTGACCTGGGGGTCTCGGGGGAAAACATCCTGAAGATGAAAGAAATCACAGCGTTCGTGAACACGCTTACTATTCCATGGTTTCTGATGGGGGACTACAACATAGGCCTGGATCACATGGAAGTATGTGGCTTTCTGAAGATGACTCGTGCGAAAGCTTTGCCTCCTGCAGGTGTCTCTTTCACGTGCAGCAATGGCGGTGGGTCTTTGATTGATTATGTGATTGCCAGTGATACTCTGGCTCCCTACTTGCGCGTGTCCAAGTACCAGGCCTCTCCCTTTAAGACTCACTGTTGCCTTGAGGTCTGCTTGCCGCATGCTGCCTTGTTGCAGGAGATGACCAAGCGTGTGCGGCCAAAAGTCTTGCCTGAGTATGAAGGACCTGTGCTACCCTGGGAATACCACTTTAATGCTGAACTGGCGGAGTGGACTCCACCACAAGCAGCACTACAGCCTCAGCTTCCTCATGTCCAGGCCCACCTTTCTCACGAGCTGACCTCGTCTTATCTCTTATGGTCTCGCACGAAGGAGAGGATGATGATGTCAGTCGTTGTTGGGGATGATGAGGATATGGAGGTTTATCGAGGCCGGGGTGATTTTGTGGATTTCCGACATGCTACTCTTACTGATCATGCCCGGCGAAGTGGGTGTTTTGCCCAGCCGATGCTTACTTACTGGTCCACTGTCTCCCAGAAGTTGTATGAGATGCGCGTTGCTCTTAAGAAAGGTTATGGTCGTATGCTAATATGCATCTCTTCTCGGCTGGGAGCACTTGGACGTCGAGTCCTACAGCATTGCGAGTGTCTTCCTGCCGACCAGATTGCCCACCAGTGGCAGGCTCAGCGTTGTGATTTGAAATCGGTTGATGTGGACCGATGTCAGGAGATGATAGATCGCTGCACGGCAGTCCTCTCTAAGGCTTGGCAAGCTGCCCGCGCGTCAGCAGCTAAGGCGATTAAGGACTGGCTGTTGAAGGCGCTGCCCCGAGGTGCCTCCAAAGCTCACGCCTGGCTCAGGCGTGAAGAGCAGGAGGGGTTAGAGTTTTTTGTTGCCCCTGAGGGTATCCTCCAGCTCCCTCAGGAGATGATGGCTCACCGTGAAAAAATCTGGGGTGGGTTTTGGACTGCCAGCCCAATCCAGATTCGACAGTTGACTGGGGCTTTGGAAGAGTTGCGTGTGAGTGCGCTGGATTTGTTGCCCGAGCTTCCCGAACTACCACCCGAGACCTCCACCTCGCTGCGAGGGTCTTCTCTGAAACCACGGCGGTTGGGGTGGACGGATGGAGGCCTCGGGATTTTCTGGACTTGGAGTCTGGTGCCGCCGATGCTCTCGTCGGGCTCTTGAATGATTGTGAGGCCAATATGATGTGGCCTGCCCAAACCCTCCTTGGTATTATTTGCTTGCTTCCCAAAAGCAAGGTTGATGAGCGCCCCGTTTGCAAATGCCCCACCCTTTACCGCATCTACTGTAAAGTTCGCGGGGATTTCTTGGCGGCCTGGAGTCAAGACCATGTTGACTTCTGGGATGATGCCATCAAGGGCAGTTCCGCCCTTCAAGCTGCGCTTCGCCGAGAGCTTTCTCATGAGATTGCTGCCTTCCAGGAAGTTTCCAGCGTTGCGATCCATTGGGATCTCAAAACATTCTTTGATACGGTTATCCCTGCTAGGCTTGTGCGTTTCGCCACTGCTTTGAGGTTCCCACCGCACCTCCTGTACCTGGGCCTCCTTGTGCACGTGGCCCCCAGGATGCTCGAGAGTAGCGGCTTCTGCTCCCAGATCATACCTGCTGGGATTGGCGTCCTCCCGGGATGTATGCAGTCTATGTCCTGGGTCAAGGTGTATCTATATCAGATATTGGATGATGTGCATAATCGGTACTTCTTTGGGAATCCCAGTGTGTCTACCAGGTCTTACGTTGACGACATATCCCAGGTGTGCCAGGGAACTGAAGACCAGGTCCGACGGCAGATTGTTGCCGCAGCAGTTCAGCTAGGCCATTCGGTTGATGCAGCCGAGCTTGTTTTGTCTAATAAGTCTGCGGTTGTCGCGAACCGACGGCCTCTTGCACTTCTTGTTGCTACTGATTTGAAAGCAGCAGGCCTCCCTGTCAGGGTTGAAGATGTTACACGTGATTTGGGTACTGCTACCACGGCAGGAAGGAGGAGGACTGCTGCCATTGTTCGTGCCAGGCGGCGGAAGGCCGCAGCTCGAGGTAAGAAAGTGCGCTACTTGACAACTCTGGTCAAGAAATCGTCTAAGCTCTACAAACCAGGCGTGCTCGCTGTAGGCACCTGGGGCCACAATGTTGCTGGCCTCTCTGGGGCCCAAGTTCAGAGTGCGCGCGGGCAGGCCGCTGTCTGCTCTGGCCACTGGCATGCTGGAGCTTGCTCTACCACCATCCTGAGTGTCTTCGGGGCCGAGAAGAATGATCCTATTTTTCGTTTGCGGCGTGAACAGCTATCTGGGTTTGTGACTCTTTGGAAATCCCTTACTGATAAGGAGAAGCTGCGTGTTTCCCAGGTCTGGCAGGCTCGGTTTCAGGAGTACATCAGTATCCCCAGGAACCAGGTTTGGAAACGGGTCCGTGGGCCGATCGCCGCTACTGTTGCTGTCTTGCTTGATCTGGGCTGGTGCCCATTGTATCCTGTGCATTGGCGAGATAACTTTGGCAACGACCTCTACACGGAGGCCCCGGATTTTGCTGTGACCTTGCGGCGCGCTATTAAGGCCACGTGCAGCGGCCTGGTCTGGAGCCAGGCTGCCAAGCATTACCATGGGTATGGAATCGCTTCGGGGGTTGATTTCATGGTCCTCAAACAGGAGATCAATCGCTTGGGGAAAGACTTAGATTACGAGGGGCAGGCTTTGCTTTGGAACCTTTGTTCTGCTGGCTTCTGGACTGAACAGAGGTTACATGATGAAGGATACCACACGGTTTCTAAAGGTATTTGCCCGCGCTGCGGGGAGGTTTGTGCGACCCCCTTCCACAGGTTTTGGGACTGCAGGTGTAATGATTCCATCCCAGATCCAGTTGTGGAGCGTACAGCTCACCTCCGCGAGCAAGCTGCTCGTGATGTTGATTGCCCTGCCCTCTGGTGTCGGGGCCTTATGCCTCTAGACAGGACGGTTGGACATCTGCCGATCGCGATTGAAAGCGCCATTGGTTGGGGATCGTTCGATGAGTTGCCTGTCTGCCAAGGGGGCGTTTGGGGAATCGACGGATCGGGGGGGGAGCACGCTAAGGATGAGAGACTAAGGCGTTGTGGGTGGGCCTGCGTTAGACTAGGTACCACCCTGGACAACATCGATGGGGGCATCGCGGGGACCCTGGGAGGTGAACAGTCTTGCCCGCGTGCTGAACTTCTCGCGTTGATTTATGTGTGTCAGTATACGTATGGGCGTATCTTGGTGTTCAGTGATTATTTTCCTGTTGTGCGAGCTTTCCGGCGTCCACGGGCCTTGCTGGCCAAGTCTGAGATGCTGGACCTCTGGGTTCGCCTTTGGGAAGTCCTTGACGCCCGAGAAGGTGATATCGACCTCCGCTGGACCAAGAGCCACCCCACAGGCCCCCAGGTCAGCGCCCTCTGTCTCACGTCGATTGAACGGCTTTTGAATGGAGCCGCCGATGCCTGTGCTGGGGAGATGGCCCGTCGAGCGGCTGTCCCCCAGGAAACGGCGGCCATCACGCTTGAGCTGGATATATTAAATAGGGATATCATTCGGAGGCTTTTAGCCATCCAGCGTGAAGTTGTGGTGCAATACCCGCGAGAGCGCACTGAGTACGCGCGTGTTGGGCATGAGCATGTGCGCACGCGCGCTGGCGCGAGCAGTGCACAGATCAGACGTGGGCGTCTCGAAGAGCAGGGCCATTCGCCTGTTGAGCTAAAGACTCTGTTCAAGTGTAGTATCTGTTCTGTGCGTTTCAGCAAGAAGGGGCCACTGTCTGTCTTCTGGCCTGGCCCCTGCAGCGCTGGGCGGTTTGCCCAGTACCGCGTGCCTCGTGAGGATGAGGAGCCTGGTTTTGTGGGCCCTGGGGTCGCTGCTTTTGGGCCCGCTGCGCATCCCATGGCCATCCACTGCCACGAGACCCATTCCTTATCTGAGTTGAGTGGCGTTCTGTTTTGCACTGTCTGTGGTAGTTTTGCGGTCACCAGTGCCCGCAACTTGAAAAGCGAGTGCAGGCCTCCGACCAAGAAGGGTTTGGAGGCACTGGGCCGACTGGAGAGGGGGCTCCCGCCAAAGTCGGGAATGGCCTTCCCTCGGTGATTGTGGTGGGGCGGCCAGGCCAGCACCTGGGCACCGCGCGTCCGCCATAGCGCCATAGCTCCTCCTTCTCCTCCTCCTCCTCCTCCTGCTCCTCCTCCTCCTCCTCCTCCTCCTCGTCCTCCTGCTCCTCCTCCTGATTCGACACGCACTCCAGAAGTGCTCCAACAGGGCACGAGCCCTCGTCCCCGAGCTGCTTTCTTGGCTACTCTTGAATCTGCCTCCCCGTAGAAGGGGGCGTGCCCGACTGACATATAGAGCCCTCCCAAAGGGGGTCCGCGTAGATGGGGTCGGAGGATGGCGCCATGCATCGGCGATGCATCGGCGATGCATCGGCGATGTCGGTGTGGAGAGAATCAGTCTCCACGGCGAGCCGCATCGCCGATGCGGCGCGATCTTCTGGCCCCATCTGCTCGGACCCCGTGTGGGAGGCCTGGCCGGAGTGGCGAAGCGGCACCGCAGGTCCGTGCCGCGCCGACTTCGGCCTCGGTTCGTGACGCCGCGGGGATCCTTCAACCTTGAACGATCGGCCGCTTCCGAAACGTCAGGTCGTTCAACATCGACCGATTCTGAGTCGCCGGCGGCGCTCGACGTTGATTGGGTCGGGCGAAAGGGGGGGATAGCAAAAGGGGGGGTTTGAGAATCAGCTCACGCAGCTGATTTTCCCGGCGCCTCCCGGCGCCGGAGGCGGCTATGCATCGAGGAATGGGCCCCTCGGTGAGGCCGAAACCAGCTGCATGCAGCAGATTTCGTAACCCCCCCCCCTGACTCCTGATCCGCCCTACTTTGGGCGATTTCGAAAGTAGGGCGGAAATTTCCGCCCTACTTTTGAGGCCCCTTTGAGCGTCGATTTCCGCCCTTGAGGCTCCTTTGGCGTCGATTTCCGACACAATTTTAGGTCGGAAAATCATCCAAAGTACGGCGGATCAGGAGCCAGGGCCCTCGGTGAGGCCGAAACCAGCTGCATGCAGCAAATTTCGTAACCCCCCCTTTCCCAATCCCCCCCTCTCGCCCGGCCCGAGACTCCGAGTCGCCGGCGGCGTTCGACGTGGAACGCCCGCGGCGGGCTCGCCGCCGGTCGCCACGACGCGAACCTACCGCATCGGTGTGTCTCTTGGCCTCCCCGAGGCGGGGGAGGAGGAGGAGGAGGAGGAGGAGGAGGAGGAGGAGGAGGAGGAGGAGGAGGAGGAGGAGGAGGAGGAAGGGGAGGAGGAAGAGGAGGAGGAGGAGGAGGAGGAGGAGGAGGAGGAGGAGGAGGAGGAGGACCCCCGAGGCCTGGTTGCCCTGCCGCTCGCTCAGGCGCCTCTCCCGGCTGCTGGCGGCCTGCTTGCCCTCGCCCGAGCTCAGGGTGAAGACCAGCTCGCTGGC